ACAAATCTCATAGCTGCTAGTAAACGTAACCCTAAATTATTATTTAGCATGATATAAAATATCGTCTCTGTTCCACTAGCCAGTGCTCAGGCCATTTCAGAAGAAGACTGGAATAAATTTCTAAAATTTTTTGAGCATAAGGTTCAGGATCTGAGGTCAAATATTCAGTCTCCCTTGTGCACAGGTTTTTTGCTACTTCCACTGCATATTTTGTTTTTGAGGGAAGGCCTCCAACCACTTTGAAAAATAGCCAGTTGCCTTTAAAGTATACTGAAAGCCAGTGGATGTTTTTGGCAGTGGACCAGTGAGGTCAATTCCAGTCAGCTCCCAAATGGCAGATAAGTGTCAGTGACATAGTGATATTGGACTGAACTGAACAAGCACTAGAGTGCATCAATAAAATATTGTGCATTGCAAGATGGTAATGGTGACCCTGATGCAATCCAGCAATTTAACTGCACTCAACACAGGTGCATCTCTTTCACATTGGTCACATTTAGACACCTTAAAAAATGAGTGTTAAGTTTCATATACTGTTGTGAACATTTCTACTTAACGTTATACTTAACAGCTACACCCCAATTTCTCAATGTCTGTAGACTCCTGAGCACACGGCACTTCCTGTTTTCAATATACCAGTGTGGCCCCCAATTGGAGGGGCAGGAAATTCCTTAAAAAGATTCACAGCCTCCTCCTTCATTCTTATTACTCTTTGTTGGCTTGTGCCATCGAAGAATAGTGTTCCATCTACGAGATAAATTCAAACAAGTATTTAACACATTAATATCATTGTCATCATCATCATCATGATTAAGCTGTTATCTTTATCCTTTTTACGTTAAATATTAACCCTGAATGCTGAATTCGGTATGTTTTCTGAGGTATCGCTCTGCCCTTTATCCATTTCTGCTGGGTATGAAGCCTTACAAAGATAATTGAAAATTTCCTCCCACTTTCCCCATGTCTGTAAAAATGAGAAACACACAATAAACTGAAACAATTCACTTGATTAAAAGTAACATTTTAAGTTAAACATTATATGACAAATCTCCTTACTAAATTCTGTGTAACGGAGGTTGCTTCCAATCCTCACTGTTCAAGTTGCAGGAAAATTAAATAAAAGAATGGATATGACAGAAAACTAAAATATTTTTGCTAGGTTGAATTTATGAATTTATGAACAAAAGGAAAGCCACAGTAACAATAAAAATGTACAATTAACTTCCATCGAATATTCTGTGCAATTGCGTATCTTTTGTGGACAGTATACAGTATTTTGACTGTATTTTAAAAAGCAACTATTCAGGTATTTTGAAATCCCTAACGAGACTGAAAGGAAATACCGTGGTACAGTGTGCTGTTTTACTGTTATGCCAGTTGTCTGCCATTTTACAGTACCTATCGGGAGAGTATACTCTCAGTATTTGCGCATGCGTCAAACAGAATTACACGATGTTCTCCGCTAGCTCATCATGGTAATACCCAAGTGTCCCACTCTCAACACACATCCAAAATATGGCGTTTGCTGAGATACTCTCGGCTGCATGTCTATTCCCTGGCTTGTTGCCTTCCATTCCATGCCAGTGTCTCTCTACCTGAATGTCCTTTGACAAGCGCTCAGCCTGGGGGAAGATCACTGCCCTGCATGCTGCCCTGCATGCTGCCCTGCTCTCCTGGAGGACTGGAGGGGTCTTGGCCATGTGGATAACTGGGAAACTATCAAAGGCAGGCCAAATGGGCACAGACAGAGCAATATTACACCAGTGCTGTTCAGTCATAGCATCAAAAGCTCCATTCAGACGCGTAACTATAGTTAAAGTGGCCACAGAGAATTTAATGTAGTATCTGTGTTTTACAATGGAGCTGATTCTTCAAGACTTAGTAAGGAGCCACTGTGACTTACTACTAAAAACACTTATTCAACACCCAAGTTCAGGTTTATTTACCTCCAGGAGTGTGGTTTTTTGTGTGTGCCTGTGTGTGTATGCAAACTTAGCCAGAAGACCAGGGCATTATGTCTGCGATGCTTTACATCAAGGTTTCCCAATCTGGTCCTTGCAGACCCACTGTCGGTCCATGTTTTTGCTCCCTCTGAGTTCCCTACTAAAACGTCCACATTTTTGCTCCCTCCCAGCTCCCGGTAGACGTGGATTGTCTGTGGGTCCCCCAGGACTGCATTGGGAAAAAACTGTCCTAGAAAGATAAACAGTGTTTTTGGTGCAGCTTGTAATGCAGTAAAATGGTCAGTCATGTCAAAGGCCGTATTAAGGTCCAGAAGCATGAGCACAGTTGCATTCTCAGTATCATTTACCATTGTTATGTCATTTAAAACTTTAGTTAAGGCAGTTTCTGGGCTGTGTCCCTGACAGGTTTTAGTTGGTTTTAGTTATTACTGTGTTCATTGACTAGCTGAAATACTTTAAGGGTGTTTGCACGTTGTGTTTGCATCAGAGGTACTTGTGAGTCATTTGAACATGCTGGAAGTATATTGTTTGTGATTTCATTATTAAAGAAGTCCATAAAATCACTACTAATATTACGTGGTAGCAGAGGTTCAGCCTTATTTGTTAGATAAGCTATTGTCTTAAAAAGGTAGTGATGGTCAATAAGGTTAGAGTAATAGGCTGCAGGTGCCCTGTAGAGGGCTTGCTTATATTGTTGCAGGCTGTTGGACGATGCCAACTTGAACACCTCTAACCCCACATATTTCCATCTGCGCTCCAATCTGCGGCACTGCTGTTTGTAAGAACGTGTGATCATTAAACCATGGATTAGTGCCTGGTGATTTATACCACTTTATTTTTCAAAGGCCATTTCGTCCAAAATCTGACTAATCACTGCATTAAAGGTATGTGTGACTTTGTTGACATTTCTCCTAGAGATGAAGTTCACATTACTTACTGCATCAATAAATCACAGGGAATTTCTATCATTTAGGTGACGTGTCATAATAGTCTAATCTGCCATAGTCAAAGAGGGTGGCTGAATCACAACGGTGATTAGAAAATGACCAGAGAATGACAATGGACAGACAGATACATGATGAACATAAATTCTGTAAGTAATAATCAAGCCTAGTGTATGATTGTGAACATGCATTGGTCCCGTTAGTCCAGGAGGGACAGGGAACCTTTGATGAAGGCATAAGTCTCTGTGTCCACATATATATTGAAATCTCCAAGTATTATAATATTGTGCAAGTTAATGACTGAATCAGTGAGAATTTCCCCAAATTCAGTTGGGAACGATGTGTATGGTCCCGGTGGTCTGAATACGGGCGGGTCAGACACCATTTGAAGTAGCATTGCTCCAAACGCTGTAAAATCTTTTATGACTTTTTGGTTCTGTTTTTAACAGTGAGTTAAAAATAGCTGCCAGGCCGCCTCCATGCCCAGAGCCACGCGGTTTCTTGTTCCAACAAGAGGAATAGTGTCTGTGGGTCTGAGCCAGGTTTCTGTTAATAAGCACAGATCTGCACCTGTAGACCATTGTCCATATGCTTCGTACAGCATGAAAAGTATGTTTTCACTAGTGTGTGTTTGTGTATTCTATGCGCAGCTCAGTTGAATTATTCTTTTATATATATAGTTTTTCATATACTGTACTTCATAACACTATGTCTTTCAGCTGACATTTATAGTTAACGGATTCAGAATTTTCCCGTTTAGATGGAATCAGTTCCAAAACAGCACAGTTGGGAAATGTTCACTTTATTCTAAAGTTAATTATAGTTAAGGATTTTTCTGACATGCCAACATCATTGTATAGATGTGGCCAAAAGTATTTTTACCCTTTCCACTTTTTAAAAATCACAAGCTTTTGATTTTTTCATTTCCAGCTTGATAATGACCCAAAACATACATGTGGGAGCACCCAGCAATGGCTGAAAAGAAAATATTAGACTTTTCTGAACTGTAAGGGTACCAATACTTCTGTCTGTATCTGTATAGCCACTCATGAAAACTCATTTTCATCTTCATCAACAAAGCTCCGACCAAACTTGCCTCAAATATCTTCATGACCTGTAAGTCAATCAGGTTTCTCACTAGCCAGAATATTAGGCAACTTACCATCATTGTTAAAATTCTTGTCTTTTAGTACTCATGTCTGTTTTGTCTATTGCTTGACTAAAATACAATATAGTTAATTTTCTTATGTGGTTACACAAGCCCAGGACCTGGAAGGATTCAATATTCAAAGGATTCAAAGGGATTCAACTGATTTATTGTGATTTGTACTGGTACAAGTACTGAGTAGAATAAGATGCTTACTTGCATGTTGTCTGCATACTGGGTAATTTGACGCAGGGTAACAAGGGGCAGGATAAACACTTTGTAAAGTACTATAGCGCAGCCAGGTAAGGTCACATTTTATGGCTGCTGAGATGCCTGTTTTTAACCCAAACATCTTCTCAAGAGGTACCATCAAAACTATATTAATACTGAATAATAATCTGAAGGACAAGGACTTTTAAATCATTTAGGTCCACACTGAGAGCTATGATTATCACAAGTACTTTTTTTGGCCGTTTTTGTCTGAGGACAGTCTTATCTTAAGACGGGTTTCTGCTACAATAGCGTGATGACATTCTGTTGTTGTTATTACATAACATGCACTTAGCAGATGTTTTGTCTCAAGTAACAAGCAAATGAGAGAAAAGGTCAGTCAGCTCCTGGAGCAGTTGGGGTTAAGGGCCTTGCTCAAGGGCCCGGTGATAAAATCGTTTTGCCGCTCTTGGTATTCAGGGTACTTGCAAAATTTTAAAGGCCCCAAGTGAAAAAAAAATAGCTCAGTACAGCAGTGGTGTGCAGAAAGGCACAAAGAACCTGGTGTGTAGGAGTTCGCAATAAAGTGCTGAAGATACAGTGCTGAAGGTTCTATTCCGTTTTTGTTTAATGCTTCTTCCCTTTCTCCTCTTTTGTTCTGGCTCTTCATACCTTTCCTCACGGCTCACCATTCCCACTGTCTCACTCTCTCTTCCTTGGACACACTCCTGCCAGCTGTGTGTCTGGTCCTGGGCTGTATGATTTTTCCGGATGGCTGGGATGCAGAGGTGGTCCGCGACATGTGTGGAGAGGAGACGGGGAAGTACACCCTGGGAAGATGCTCCGTGCGCTGGGCCTACATCCTGGCCATCATTGGCATCTTGGACGCCCTCATCCTCTCCTTCCTGGCCTTTGTACTGGGCAACAGGCAGAACGACCTGCTCCTAGATGAAGTCAGGACTGACAACAAAGGTGAGAGACTAGTTACAATATCTCATCAGCATCCAAATGCAAGAAGCAGTTGATGCCAACTTCCCAAAATCTCATTTTTATGATCCAGTCTTCAGAACGTAATGTCATCATACTGAGCTATTTTTGGAATCTACTGTATGCAAATAATTATAGTTGGTCACCCTCACAAGCATTTGTCTTGAAAGTCATCCAGGTATGAATTACGGGGTTTTACGGCCCGAAAAGGTGCATTCTCAACTATTTTCAATAGGTGTGACCTCAAGAGGCCTTACTTTCAACCAGGCTGAAGCAGTGTCTGATATTTCAATTTATTTTTATATAGCGCCTTTCACAACAGAGTCGCCCCAAGGTGCTTTACATGGGTGTGTTGTGATACATTACAACATCATTAAGAGAGAACAATACAAAGGCAGGGAAGAGGCAGGACAATAAGATGAATGACATCCAGAGAGTAGAGGAACCAAAAACTCCCAAGAATGGGGTAAAAAAAAAACCTCTGGGGGTCAAAGGTCAACTGGCTGCACAACTGCAACCCTGGGCATGCTAACATTATAGAAAATGGAAAACAGTGGGCTTTCTTGCTAAACGCAAAGTGTAGACTTTCACCGGATATACATAGACTGAAATTGTTGTAATTATGTTTTTGCAGATTTGCAACTTCTGGTGTAAGTTTTACACCTCATTGGCTTCGCAGTCCTTGGCGATTGCAGACATTGTTGTGGCTATACCCTGACCGAGTGCAACCTTATTCATATGAATGACTTAGCATGTAGGCTCTTGTGTGGCTGTGCTGGCTAATGCAGAGTCATGTCGAATTATTTACCTGTTATTTTGTGCAGCCCTTCGACATTCACACTTTTGCAGCTAAGCTGGGATTTTGCCGAGTGCCCCGCATTATTCTAGCTTACCCTTCTTTCCCCAGTTTTTCATGCGTTTTCTTGCTTTGAGGACCGAAAAAGAGAACAACTTCAGAGTCCAGTAACTACATGAGTTTTGGAAAGTCTAAAACTGTAATTTAATCATGAGATAATCGCACAGTAACCTTTAATTTTGTGCTGGAAAGTGAAGACATTTAGCATCAATAAATGCAACAACATAAAACACTGCAGCTACATTTTTTATTACCTATGGTATTTTCATTAAGTCTGACTTTCAGAAAATACATTTACACTAAAAAAAAGAGGTCTGAAAAAAATATGTAAATGTTAAGGAATACATTCTGTCTTAATTGAAAAGGTAGATTATTACATATTTTCTGTATAAATGTCCCCAGAGTCAATAATAAATAAGAATACCTGCAAGAAGCGATAAGGACAAGGGACATAAAGAAATAATTAGTCAAAAAAGTGCTCTGAAGCAAGAAGATGCTGGACTTACTTACTGTATGTAATTCTGATGAACATAACCTTAATGTAAGAGATTAATCTGGGTCTGAAGTGACTGAGTGGTACTACAGTACCTCACTAATCTAGACTGTAATTTCGTTATACAAAGGAGCAAGCAGCACTGTAACAAAACAGGGACGTGTAAGCACTTTGACCAGATAGACTTTTAGCTAATGGTCAATATAAGTGCATTTTTAATAGCAATGAAATTTGAGATTGTCCAGCCTTGCAACAGGGTTATCTCTGAATCTTAAGTGTATTCTGGATCGTATGTGATGAGCATTCTATAACCAACAGGCCATATGACAAACCTCTATGAACCTACAGACACAAAAGTATTGGTTCCCTTCCACAATTACAATATTTCTTTCCATTGCATCTATACATGTTTATGAGCTCTTCTGTGTGTTTCTCTCCCTGCTTATTCCCACCGGTGCTCTGAATGGATACTTTAATAACAATGTCATCCACAGTTGACTGAAACAAAAACAAATAAAAAAAACACTCCATCAATAATTCCTCTGTTAATTATGACTCATTATACTTCCTCAGCCATATGGTATGCATTCTATTAAATATATGTAGCACCGACAAATGGTTAAAATGTTCAGGACTGCTGCATTACTTCACAACCTTTCTTGTTTGCAATAACAAACCAAACAAGTCTTAGTCATCATAAAACCATTAAGCCAAATGGATAGTTTCATGATTGGCAATGCAATACTTGGACCATACTATTGAATGTCTTAGATTTTTTTGCTATAATTACAATAATGACATACTACCTTATGTTATCTGTTCAAGCTCTCTAAATGAAGAACACAATCGTCATGTATTTCATACTGCATTATGGAGCTGGCCAAACGCATGGTCACATAGGAAGTGTTCTGCTAATAGGTGACCCAGGGCTGTTTTTAGCTGACATTTGTGTGCTGTGTCATGCCGTGTGGACACAACCGTAGCCTGATTTCCCTCTCAACTAGTGAAAATGCCAGCCCCATCTTATTTTAATAAATCTTGTCTCAGGACTACGGTTGCCACTATCGTCCCTTATAATATGGGACGCAGTATGTTCCAGTATGGAGACAAAGACAGGTTGATTTCAATCGACATAATACATAAATGCATCGACACAGGATAGTTCATGTCTTGAAAGTAAAAAATCAGACCAAGATTTTTTTTCTACCAATCAGTTGAGTATAAGGAGTCACACTTACAAACTGCTCAACTGGTTGGTTGAAACAACATTTTGGTCTAGATTTTTGCTTTCTGAACCTGAACTATCCACCTCTTTTCATTTAGAGATTAAAAATAAGAGTGAAAGCCTGCCATTAAGCACCAAAGGCTTGGCCTGTTTTTACCGGCATTTCTGCCACCACAGAAGACATCTGAAGACATTTTCGAAACCATTTCTATCAGACAGCTGTGATAATTGTTAAATGGTTGTTAATGGAAAGACAGTCTTTTGCATACAGTCTTTGCTTGCAATGTGTTCCTCTAGGTAGCCATTGTTTAATATAGATTTACAGAATTTCACCCTGCAAAGAAGGATACCAGTGCAAGTACAGCTCAGGAAGAGGATTTAAATATTATCAATAAGGGCCCTTCACTACAAGGAGTCCAGAAATAGAAATGTTAAAAATTAGTGGAAAAAAGAGTCTTTCTAAAACATACTTAAGCAATTAGACAATTATGAATAAGCACAATTTAATTTATTCAAAACTCATAGATTAAATGTCAGCTATAGTACAAGGGTCCTTTGCACTGATACACTTAATTTTCATGACTCATAATGTTACCCCAATATTAAATTATGGAAATGCTAATTGTTTATCTCTATGATACATATCAGTGTTTTGATTGTATGTTTTACATGTTTGACCCTCATAATTTTATTACTGCATCACAACGACCATCTGTCACATTGTGAGAAACGAAATACTCGAGGGCAGGCATCAGGCAAAAAAAGAGGCTTTATTATCAAACAAGAGTAGGGAAACAAACAGGACCACAAGGGGACAAAATGGGAAGACTCAGGGATGAGCACAGGCAACAGGAGGACTGGGGAATGACCGGACTGGGGAACACAGGACTGGGAAGCACATATATACAGGACTAATGAGGGACTGATACAATTCAGGTGTTAGCATTTACCACATTAGTATCAGGAATTACAAACAGGACTCAGCTGGGAAGAAAACAAGCAGATTCTGGTGGACCAGCAGCAACCCTTGCTGGTCATACCGGGGGATGGACAGGACAGGTCATAACATAATCCCCCTGCCAAAACAGGCATTCTGGACATGGGAGACTCCACTACGAACCGGATCGGACAGACGGAACCAAACACAGGACAGAGCACAGCGAATCCGACAGGTTATATGGGACATATGGGATCAGAAACCGGACGGAAGGGACAGAGACCAAACCTCAATGGCAATGAGAAAACAAATACAAGACACAGGACCAGACAGGTGACATGGAGCAAAGCTGACCACAGAGCAGATACCAAGGCAAGACACAAGAGGCAAAACACAGAACAGGACACACAGGACTAGGGTCACAGAAAAGACAGGGGTTGGACAAGGGACCAGAAGGACAGCAGGAATGACAAGCACCACAACACATTCCAGGACAGGACAAACAAGTAGAGGGGCAACAGAGACACGGCGAAAATAAGAGGGAACCACAGGGGACACAGACCAAAATAGAGGTAGGACATAGTACTGGGACAGGAACCAAGGTGTGAACAGAGGAAGCTGGGAATGGCTAGGGGGTCTTCTGGACCCTGGGCAGATGGACGTTGACTCTAGGATGCAGAACCTGGGACTGGATCGGCCTAAGCCTCGGGCTGACGCAGGGGCCCATGGAATGGATCTCAGGGCAAGGCCCAGAGGGTTCTGCTCTAAGTCTTCCAAAAGGGCATCTTCCAGTTCAATCCCATCCAGCCAGGTGGTAGCTGTGGAGTAGGGTGTCGAGCTGGTGGTGGCTACGGAGTAGGTGGGCAGGGTGCCAGAGGCACTGGGTCAGGTAAGGCGGTAGCAATGGGCACAGCCAGCTTCCTCTTCTTTCTCCTTCGGCCAGAGCAGGGAGTTGCAGTGAAATGCAGAGAGCCAGTAGGCTGAGCAGCAGCGAGCTGCGGAAAACCTATGGGTGCGCGGCTATGAGCTGGGGAGAGCTGGAGGGCTGAATGGCTTCCCACTGTGGAGAGAATCTGTTGTTCCTAGGTAGCTCAAGTAACAAAGTAAAAACAAATTTAAAAAAATTATATTTAATTGAGGATTGAGGACAGTAAACTGCATCCAGCTCTGCAGATGGCCCTCCAACTTGCAGGGAAAAATTTGGGGGTTGGGTGGTGGGATTGGCACTCCAATTTTCACCCAGCACCAAGACAGCAGAGAGGACTCTTTTCTGCTCTCAATGGGAGTGGCTCTGCTTCAGCCACCCACAGGAAGGCTGCACGCACCATGAAGGGGGTGGGGGGCTGGGGGTAGGGATGGGAGCCAATGGGGTCAAACCTTTTGGGTACTGGAACGCCTTGTCCCTCCGGCAAGATGACCATCTTCCCCTGCTGTTGGCGGAGCTTCATAAACTCTGCATTTCACTGGTGGCACTCTCTAATGTATGCTGTCCAAGGAGTGGTCAGATCTCTGTAGATCAGTATACCTATTATTAGTCTGGTCGTTCTGATGGGTCCCATTTTCAGGGAGTGGCTCTTGCTGTGGCAGATCGGCTCCTTTTGATGGTGTCCAATGTCACTCTTTTCAATGAGCATATTATGAGACAAAGATTAAGGCACTCTCCAGGTGTCTTGTCTGTTGTCTCAGCGTATGTACCGATCGTGGTGAGTGATACGCAGTGATCGAGTGATGTCTCGGTGAGGGAGACATTTTATTCGCAACTTTGCTTGGTGGTTGACAGGTGCCCACGAGGTGACACTCCCCTGGTCATAGGTGACTTCAGTGTGACCACTAACACTGACAGGGCGGGCTATGAGGACTGTGTTGGTCCCCACAGGTCTGGCAACTGTGGTGAAAGTGCCAAAAGATCAGGGTCTGTGGGTTGATGGATCCTGGTTCCAGGGCCTTGAGCTGCATCGTTGAACTGGTGGTGCAGTGAAGGAAATCGATCACATTCTCATGGGCAGAAGCTGGTGGCACCTACAGAACTGCAGAATCTACAAAAGTGCCGAGTTTGTGAATTCTGACCAAAGACTTGTTGTTGTTGTTGAAGATTTAGCTTGGGTCTGTGGGTCGCTGGACCCTGGTTCAAGAACCCTGAGCCACATTGCTGAACTTGGTATTCTAGCACTGCTGGTGTGGTGAAGAAAATCAGTCGCATTCTCATGGGCAGATGCTGGTGGTACCTACAAAACTGTATGTTCTACAAAAGTGCTGAGTTTGTGAATTCTGACCGAAGACTTTTTGTTGTTGATGATTTTGCTTTGGTCCATTCGGCTACCGCCTACTAGGAGAATGAAACCTTTCAAAAACCCGAAGGTTGCTGAGGATTATGCTGGCATTGCTGGTGTTTCCAGAAGGTGCTTTATCTCGCAGGGAACCCTAGACATTATTATGAGGAGTCGCAGCACATGGTTTGATGGCAACTCTGGCCTGTACCAGGAACTGAGAAGCATGACTGCGAGGGCTCTGAGGGCAGATAAGGAGGCGTTTGATAGAGGAATCTTCGGGCAAGTGACACACCATCTGTAGTCTAGTGACTCATGTCCTGCTTATAGAGGAATGAAAGCATTAAGCATTATCCAAATCTGTTCCTTGGAGAGTCACAGTCAGGGCAGGTGATGGAGCAGTGATAATGGATGACACTGCATTTGTGACCCACTGGATCATTAAAGCTGATCCTCTGGCTGTGAATCTCTGAGTTCAAGTTCTTGAGGCTGATCCTCCTTAGCTGTGAACCACCCAATCTCACTGAGATTGTATGGGTGGTGAACCAGCTCGGGTAGGGAAGACCACAGGGAGCTGTGGTATCTCAGGTGAATTTGGTGGTAACACTGTCTTCCTGGCATTGCAAGCAATCTTTGCTTCTATTCTAGATACAAGCATCATCCCAACTTACTGGAAAACAGGACTAGTTGTCCTCATCTGAAAAGGGAAGGGTGATAGCTTGGATTGCGGCAACTACAGAGGGATAACACTGCTTTTAGTGACAGGAAAGGTCCATGATAGAGTCACAGGATCCACGATCACTTGCTCGCATACCAATGACTGGAGCAGTCTGGTTTACCAGCTGAGAAGTCTGCCCTCAACCGCATCCTGGCACTGAAGGTTCTCATCGAAAGCAAACACGAATATCAAAACGGTTTCTTCGGATTTTCATAAAGTGTTTGACTTTTCCCTGTAGGACATCCTGAGACTCTGCGTTCCTCCCAGTCAATTCTGGGTTTCATCAGGGGTGTGTTCTTGCTCCTACTCTGTTCAATGCGTGCATGGACTGGGTGCTGGACAGGGCTATGGGGTCCAGTGGCTGTGGGTCACCCGTTAGTGAGGAAAGATTCACAGTTCTTGACTCTACCAATGATGCTGTGACCTTTGCAGAGTCAGTGGCAATTTTTATGCTCTGATTGGAGCTCTCAAGAGACTTACAGTAGTGAGGAGTCTGAGTGTCTGGGTTTACAAGTGTCCCGGATGAAAAAAACCAAGATCCAGGCCTTTAGTGACCTCTTGGGCTCAGCTGTCAGCAGTGTGTCTGTCTGCTGAGAGAACGTCAGCCTCTGCAGAGAGAATGTTGAGTGGTTCACTTACCTTGGCATTGACATTCATGTCTCTGGTGACTCTTCCCATGTAGTCCATAGACTTTGGGAGAGAATGGGGGATCATGAGGAGTGTGTGGCGCTTCTGATATCTTTGTGAGAAGCCATGGTCCAGGTCCTAATGCTCCCTGTCTTGCTGTTTGGATGTGAGACATAGATGACCAGCGATGAAGACTGGATTACTTTGGTACTGTGTTTCTTCAGAGAATCCTTGGGTACCACTGATTTGACTTTGTGTCGACTGAGCTGTCGCCCAGGGAGTCCCAAATGAGGCACATTATCTGCATTATGAGGGAGCATCAGTTACGGCACTATGGCTGTGCGGCGCATTTCCCTGAGGGTGACCCGGCTCACAGGATCCTCGTTGCTGAGGACCAGACCAGGCCAAGGGGACACCCAGGTGGCTGCGGCAGATAGATGGCCATTTCTGGAGGGTGGGACGGGATCATATGGCGGCCTGAGGAGTCACCAACCAAGATCTTGAGGAGTTGGCATCTCGAGTGGCATGCATTTGTTTTAATAAGGCATTACTCAAGGTATTGGATTTCATTCTGTATTCTGTTCATGTAGTTATTACTGACACAGTTAGGAGTCAGATCTAACTAACATGCAGAATATCACAGTGAGTTATGTAGGAGGATGCTATACATAAATATACAGAATATCATTTTTTATGCTCAGAAGCAAGAGTGTCTACTGTCAGCAATACAGAAGTTAATTATTTCTCAAGTAAACTATTTTATTTTTTGTCAGTTTTTTTCTACACTTTCTAAATATTATTGTTGCAACGTTTACACAATAGGAATGTTAAATATTCCTACATTTCAAGCAGTACTAATATTTTAAACATAATCACAGTCCTGCACAAAAATAATGCCACACTAAGTGTGGTGATGTTTTTATTCATAGCCATAATGCAGCAACAAATTTAGTGTCCTTTGTTATTTTATTGCTACATTTGGCTATTTTTGTAACCCTTGGCTATGCAACTGCATAAAGCGCCTTATCTTGCCAATAGCTGTATCATGACATTCACAGAGTACTAAGCTGACAAAATCTTGGTCTGGATTTGTTCTTTCTGGACCTGAACTGTGCACTTATGTATTTATGATGTCATGAGATGACACAACCAACTAAAAATCCTTTTGGTTTAGTGATTCAGTCAGTTTAACTGTCGAAATACTTTTCAATCACAATTTTGTAATTGTGAAGATTTTGACACTGCTGCCATACGTATCAATGTACAGACATGTTAGAAGGTTCATTGTACCTATGTCATCACATATTTAGAATATTCTTACATTCTCTCTTTATTCTGTAGCTGTCGTATGCTGCCAGCTCCTTCATCTGTGGCACAGCCAGCCTGCAATCATTGTAGTCACTGTGTCAGTAGTGGTTTCATGTTTAGTTTTATTCTTCTCTTTGCTTTCTTAGATTGAAATCCAGGACAGCAAAGACCCAAGGTTGGGAGGCCTCCTCTCTCAAACACGGCTCCTCTCTTCCTTTGGCCCCTCCCTCCACTCTTCAGGCTCCGCCCCAGTCTCATCTTGGAGGCTTACAAACAGCCATTTGTAATATAGAACTTGGAGTAAGTATTTTAAGATAAGGCAAGAACAGTCAGCCTAATTGTTTCTGCTTGGAGAAAAACAGAAAAGCGACATACAGCAGCAACTTTCTCTGACTACAACGAAAGTGGTGGTGACAACGGTGATTGCAATGACAACTTTGAAACACGTTACACTCTCCTGCAGCCGTGACGTTCTGTGGTATGTATTTCTTTATGTTTTTGATTTCATTTGGAGATACGGTCATTTCCAATATTCAAAAATAAGAAGAGAAGAGGAATCCTATGAGGTAATCAGTTGCCGTCACACGTCACAGACGCCTGGGTGCTACCTAAGAGACTTTCAGCAACCACTTCATTTTCTACAACAGAAGGTGGAGTTTTGGACACTTTAAAAATGAGAGACATTTCCCAATAGAAATTTAAAACATGTATAAAGTTGTAATAATGTCCTTACAAGAAACAGGGTAATTGTTTTCCGTCTCTGCATCTCATTTAGGTCATTTGATCAGACCAATGGACCAGAGTTTACAAGGCTGAGTTTTCTAAGGTAGTCAAACATACTGGTTTCTTTTCCATACAAAAAAAAAATCACGCATACAACCACCAAGAGTATTGTCATCATTAGATCTGTTGGCTCCTAGACCAGCTCTGAATGAAGGGCGTCTTTTCAAAGAAAACCATGGTGAAGACTCTTCAAATCTACATCCTCTTTTCTTCAGCCCGACTAAATGTCCCCAGCAATTTGAGAGGTCATTGGATATGCTCCCAGAATCCCTTGCTCTCATCTGACTAATGTCAGCCATCTTGGTTCAGTTTCTCTTTGCCAGGGTATAGGTCTCAGAGGAAGCGGCCTGACAACAGCAAAAGGCCGTCCCTCATACATTTTTACCGGTTTAATCTGGCTTGTACATGTGATTGGTGAAGCCCTGCATGCTGCGAACAACTCAGGCCCTGATGTTCTGACCACCCTCAGCCTTGAACACGTGACAAGAGCAATGGATGCCCTGACGTGCTCTCTCAGCGATTCAGTGGGAGACACGGAGGGCAGGCAGCCGCGCCACATGGATCGGCGCAGTGTCAACGTACCTCTCCTTTGTAAACTTCCTGTTTCCAGACTGACTGTGCTGTTTTGATTGGAAGCAAGAGGTTGTTTGGTGATGGAGTGTAGGGTGTCTAGAGGGGTATGTGTGTTTGCAGTCAACTCAGTATTAACACCAAATGTGGTATGTTGACAACCAAAAACTGGGGATAGAAGCCAGTGACATGCATTTTGATAACTTCTGACAGTTTTGTATTGGTCTGGAATAGTAGTTATGCAAAATAATTAGCAAATGATTAAAACAATGTAACAATAATAGAGTTTTATGAATAAATAGATGCAAATTGTAATAAGGAAATTTGTTGCCAGCATTAGTATATAGTTTCCAGAATTTTGGCGATAATATATTTTGAAATTTAGAACTGTTCAGATCAACAAAATTGTGAGAATTGAATACTGCTGTATATGCTATACTAGAATTTTCTGGATTTTTACATTCATCTCAATAACCACACCTCTACAACAGGCTGGTTTCAAATTTGTTAATCATGGCGAAAATCTCAGGAAGCCATACTGTACACAACGGGACATAAATTTTGGTAATGGTGAGCAATAACAGTGAACGATAATGCTTCATTCGGCGCTGCTTCACCTTAACAGGATGTTGAGTCTGCACACATTATCGGCACAGGCAGCATAATTATCTGAGTGCTTTTCACCCAGATTTTTTCTTTTGCTCACTCCTGCAGATACCTGCTGTGAACATGGCGGGGCTGACACTGCTTTGACAATTCGTAAACAAATTCACATTGAAAGCATCCTTTTTCCTGATCTATCAGACTGCAATATCCCAAAATCTGTATCTCAGAAGTGAGTTTCTGCTTTGTTCCATCCATCATCCCAGTAAGTAGCCTGGTTAATTACTGATGTGGGATCCAGAGAGACATCAAATACGGCACTGGCTAGATCTCATCGGCGGCATCTAAGATATGCGAGAAAATGAGGCAGATAAATAGATTGCTAGGAGAGAGTGATTTCAAAAGTAGCCTGTGATTGCTCTTCTCAAACGATCACTTGAGGAATAAATCATCTGTTAATGTTTATTTACGAAAGACGCATTCGTCAGATGGGTTTGTGATGGATGAAATGTAGACAGCCACCTGTTTGTGTGGGTTGGTACTTTTGTGCAATGCAAGGTACTTGAATTACTTTGGAAAACATTCAGCTGTTTTAAATGTCTGTGTCACATGTAAATTATGTAAGTCCACCTTTGGATATGGTTGTTATCTAAGCTGAAAAACAACATATTCACTATTTGATGTCTAAAAGAGGTGATCACACATCAACACCAGGGAAGGTATTTTTCCATTTAGCATATATATTATATATATTTTTTTTACAAGTTAGCTTGTTCGTGTTCTTTTTAGGCCTCGACGTGATTGTCTTTATAAGCTATTGATGAAGATTTCAAGGTACCTTAAATTTGTATGAATACATGTTTGCACTGATAAACTATCACCAGCTCTGCTTGAAATGGGGGGCATCGACTCGCCACACATTACAGGAGTAACATTACCGTGGCCAAACAATAATAAAATGAAAATGAGAGAAGAAATCTTCTTCTTAGTGTTTATAAGTGTGAGTGTTCAGTGTTCAGATATGAAGCCTACGCTGTAGTTCTGGGGCAATATGGCACAGAAATCCCACACTACCCACTTCGATCTACACAGGATTTTCTGGGCAAGATGGAAGTTGCCTCTGCAAGCAGCAGGAGCCTCATTATGGGGCCTTGTGGCTTTCTTCTGGAAACCCTTGACTCCCTGCACAGGGTATCTGAGAAAGACTTTGGCTGCGTGGTAGGAAATCTCAGAGGATCCAGAGATGGTACATGTTTGGCCCAAGATCTATGTGCTGCGTGATGATCACCAGACCTACTGTATAACGTGTATATAATGTGCTGGTCTTGTTGTTGAAATGTTTTGTCAGGTCTCAGAGTTCCTAAGCCCACTTCAAAGGGCTGTGGTATTGATCTAAATGACCTGGTAAAAAAAGCTTGATATTATTTTCTTCATATCATTACGAGTATGTACCTTTTAAAAATAGACACTTCTTCTGAATGAGATATTTTAGAGCAAATGGACTTTTTGCATAACAGGTTCCACCATTATAGATTTTTGAAGTATGAAATATAAGAAGTGCCATATCTTCATCATTATGTTCTCCATAATTAGCTTGGATAGTAAGAGATCATGTAATGTTTCTTGTGTCAGAAGTACAAACACCTAAACAACTGGACTATTTTTAAGTAAAAGAAACATCAAAACGATGGTCAAGAGAAAATGAGCAAAAAACAGACTGAAACCCTGTAACCTTCGAATATCAAAGAAATGTAAACACTATTATATATTGTATCTCAACACGCATATATGTCTGGTCGCCAACTCTGAGACCCTGGAGCACATGTTTCTCTGGTGATGCATGAGTGATAATATATTTTGGAACTTAGAATTATCCTGATCAACAAAATGGTAAAAATTGAATACTGCTGCTTTGCAAGAGCACATTTCTAGCAATCTGATTGCACAAATGCATTAATTGTAACTACTCAGACGTTACTGTAAATACATAAACACAGTAGTCAATTTTACAATAAATTGTCATGGGTACCATTTAGCACCATCTAGTGAGCCTGAGTGAGTAAGGTATTCTCTGGAGCATCTGTGGGTCTTCGGGGACCCACAGGCCGTCGACGTTTTTGTTCCCCCTCAGAACTCTGCCAGACAGACCACAGTTTTGCTTCCAGTTGCAGGTCCCCGAGGACTGGATTGAAAAGCACTACTCTGTAGGCTTTAGGAAGGGGTATGTGCCAGAGCCACAGGAGGGACTGGACCAGGGTAATACCTGCCTTTCACTTGGTTGAGTTTCCCGGTACCTCCTCAGCGACTATGAGCGTGCAGCTGTGCGTTTGGTACTGTTTTTGCAGGGAGCAGGAGTCTGAGACAGACCGCTAAAGCAGACACGTCTGAGCTGAGTGGGTCCGTAGCTCTTCATCACTGTTCAACACACTGTAAATTCTGATTCCCTTATCAGAAGCCAATTTTAAATGTGCCGAAGGAGTTATCAAAACTGTGCAATTGTCTTTTTTCATTTAAAGTATGCGCATTGCATTTCCTTTTTTTTTAATTAATTTGATTTAACTGATTATGCATTTGGCACATTTAGAGAGTAAGGTGTGATGTCATGAAAAGTGAATGTTTATGCAAGACTGTCACCCGAGGAGGTGAGATGTAACATGAGTGTGCTCAAAGAGTAAACTCCTTTGTGTTGCTTTTCATGCTGTTCCAAGGCCAAGAGCAAGTTAATTTATGTTGATATTGGTTTATACATGCGGTAACAATGTCAAAGATACCAGGGAGCTAATTTGTCACTATTGCAGTTTTTCACAATAATTGACAAAAAAGTAATTATTGATTTTAATCTTTAAATCTCTTTACCATGAGGTTAAAAACTCCAAACTAGTAGCTTTCGCCTGGGTGAATAATATTGTAGCATTTTTTTGAATACCTTTTTGCATTTATGATTCCAGGGAATATTCCCTGGGATAATACAGTGTGAAGCGCTGGTTTGCTAGGAGCTTCAATCCACTGAAATTTCCAGGTCAACTGCATGAATGTGTCAACCTTCCAACACTGAAATGCCATGTCTTGGGATTTTCATTCAAAAAGTCAAATAAAAAAGGTTGGACTTGAAAGGAAATATGCGTCATTCCTTTTGTGCTGTCCGGGGTATCAAGGGGCTTAACTTACAGCCCTTGGCAAATCAGCACTCTGTATACTCTTCAGCTACACTTAGTACTTCAAGCAGAGGCAGTTATAACCATAGCTGGGCCACCAAATGTCCAGTTATAATGCCGTCTGCGTTTGCTGTGTAAATTATAAGTAATGAATCATATGTCAGATGGTCTGAAAGCTTTTAATAAACAAATAAACAAACAAACAAATAAATAACTGAGAACGGATGTGCAAAAGGGCTAAGCTGCCTCCAAACTAGAGGCTTGAACTGTTACTGTAACTGGAGTGAAAAGAGATTGTTCGTGACCTTAGAGTCTGTCACTGGTTCACTGTTTAGTCCTATTCTAAAAGAACAGGATGACGCCATACCCAGCTGGACAGATCAGGAAGATATTAAAAGCATGTTGTGACCCAGGGAATCATTAAGGGAAGATTGCATGCAGTTCCCTAGGGCCTAATTGGTGAATGTCTAATGATTTCCTTCTGCAGTGATTGTTTTCTGTGCAATTAACAGTAAGATGTTCTGCAGAGAGGGATGTCTACAGCAGTGGAGGTTCTAGACCATTTCAACTGGGGGGGAGGGGA